TATATAAAGACGATCACTGACTGTATATAAAGATGATCACTGACTGTATATAAAGACCATCACTGACTGTATATAAAGACCATCACTGACTGTATATAAAGATGATCACTGACTGTATATAAAGATGATCACTGACTGTATATAAAGATGATCACTGACTGTATATAAAGACCATCACTGACTGTATATAAAGATGATCACTGACTGTATATAAAGACCATCACTGACTGTATATAAAGACCATCACTGACTGTATATAAAGACCATCACTGACTGTATATAAAGACCATCAATAACTGCTGTTATTGAATGTGATAGATAATTTTTCAAGATAAAAGTTAATTTGTTCTGTTAATTTCAGCATGAGATCGCCATAGTAACAGAAGGAGGCGTGGAGATTATTGGTCCTCTGTCGTCTGAAACCAACTGGGACATTGCTCACCTGGTCAGGTAGGTTCACAGGAGGAGGCTGTTTTCACTTTTATATTGTACATTAAAACATTTGTGTTTCTCGGGTGTTGGAAAAATGTATACATTATATCGCTTAGAATAATTTGTTTTTACAATTTAATTTAATATATATTTCCCTACTATTAAAACTGTCAGGTTGTTAAGTCATGAAATAACTCTAATAAATAAAAAATAAATCATTCCGATGATAAATGGTTGTCACAGTCTGAATATCAAACGTCTGTTTCTCCACAGTGGGTTTGAATGAAGACGAGAAGCAACTGATGAAGACCAGATTTTTCTCTGCTCTCTGTCCCACCTGAAGTTTTGTGATGTTGGTTGTCTCTTTTGTATAATGGAAAATAAATGTCATAAATCTAAATGTGCTTTTCTTGTTTTACTTCTGAACACATAAATGTGATCACAGCTTGAAGCATTCAAACTGTGCACATCACACCATATCCTATATGATCTACAGATATATTATTCTATATTATATACATTGGAAAATATATTTATTTAAAAGTTTGATCGTGTTGGATCTCTCGAAACAGTTCCAATATATTAACAATAAAGACAAGTGAAAAAAGTTGATATTCCCCGAGAGATTCAAGATAAAGTAGAAATGTGACCAAATGTATAAGAAAAGAACTTGGTCTAATAATCCATGTGTTAGTACTGCGAGTCTGTCATTGAATCACATGTAACATGTTTAATTCATGGTTACATGTTAATCCACACGGTCTGTTGCTATGCAGACTTCACAAGATTAACTCATCTGTTCTGTAACTGGGCAGACCAGCATCACGCGTCCAATCACAATAATCCCTGTCAGAAAAATACTTCTGCTCGACAAATGGAGTTTCAGCCGCTTTTGGTCTCCGGGTAAGTTTGTGACAGCGCACCAATCAGAATAGACGTCGGCTTTGTAGTCAGGCAGACATAGCAGAGTCGTCCAATCACAAAAAGACCAGAGGGGATTTTAGCAGTAGCTTGTGTCAGGTACTTTGTTTTTCTTTTTAAAATAATGACTTTAATCAGCTGATCACCATCGATCAGCTGTTTGTGTTGAAACGCGTCTGAAAACAGGTGAACATCTGTTACAGCTCATGCTAATGCTACTGCTAGGACAGAGCCAACAGCTAGGCTAGTCAACTAGCATCTCGGGTTAGCAGCTAGCTTCTAGCTTCCCGGTAAAAGGTCGACTTAACGAGTTCTCCGGTAGAACCGGTTCTCTCCGTCTCGAACCCGCGGGCTCGTCTTCCTTTGTCGAAGCCCGCTGACGTGTCGTGGTGCCGGTGTGTGCAGCTAATGCAGCGGGCGCGTGTGGTTTGTTCGCGGGGCTCTGACATGTTGCCGTGTCGGTGTGTTCATAGTAAATGTCAGACACATGACCACCGGCGCTGGAGACACACCGGACACACACCAGCCGTCAGGCGGAACACACACCGGCCCCGCGGTCACAGCACAGCCGCTGACGCGTTCACATCTCCGGGTAACTGCAGCAGTGAGTGGAGCCGGTAGCGGGCTGTGTTCGGCTCCCCTCGAACACGCCTCCCGCCCCGCTACAAACGGGAACGTTTAACGGCACCGTGACAGCCGCCATGTGTCACTACCCGGCAGCCATAGGGCCTGTTTCGTAAACCCGCTGAACCATATGAACCATGTGAGGCTCCGGTAGATCTGCTGCTGCACCGGGACAGAGGCGGGAGAGACCCGGCGCTCAGGGTGTCTGTCTGGGGTCAACTGACACACAGAGTCCCGGTTCGTCCCCGGTTCATCTGACACACTGACCCTTCCATTCACAACGTGTCCACTTGAAGTGACAGATTCCTTCTGTCTTAGTAAATCTACTAAAACAGATCACGGGCCCTTAAACTGTTCTTATACAGGAGCCCAAACAGAGAGCGGCCCCTGAATCAATCCATCTACAGAGGAGGTGACTTAGTTAGTTAGTTAGTTAGTACGCTGGGTAGTCGGTCAGTAACTAGCTGACCGACTACCTAACATACTACCCAATGTACTGACTGACTAACTTACTAACTAGTCAGTAAGTTTTAAGGTCAAGACTGTACTAACTGACCAATGTACTAACTTACTGACTATCTACCCAATGTACCGACTAACGAACTTACTAACCAACCCTCTATGTAAAGTGCCTTGAGATAATTTATATTATGATTTGGCGCGATACAAATAAAATTGAATTGAATTAGTTTGTTAGTACTTAGTTAGTCAGTCAGTTAGTTAGTTTGGTAAGTTAGTCTGTCACTTACTATGTTAGTCAGTTACTACTTTAGTTATTCAGTTAGGTAGGTAGTTAGTCAGTTACTACGTTAGTTATTCAGTTAGGTAGGTAGTTAGTCAGTTACTATGTTAGTTGTTCAGTTAGGTAGGTAGTTAGTCAGTTACTATGTTAGTTGTTCAGTTAGGTAGTTAGTAAGTTAGTTTAAGTTACGAACTACCTTATTGAATAACTAACATAGTAACTGACAGACTAACTTACCAAACCAACTAACTTACCAACTGACTACGTAACCTACGTAAGTTAGTTAGGTCGTTAGTAAGTTAGTCTGTCTGTTACTATGTAAGTTATTCAGTTTGGTAAGTTAGTCTGTAAGTTACTACGTTAGTTATTCAGTTAGGTAGGTAGTTAGTCAGTTACTATGTTAGTTATTCAGTTAGGTAGTTAGTAATTTAGTTAGTCAGTTACTATGTTAGTTATTCAGTTAGGTAGTTAGTCAGTTAGTTAGTCAGTTACTACTTTAAACTCTTCATAGAGGTGGAGGCTCTGGGTCTGTTCAGTAACATATACCATCTATATATATATAATCTATAGATGGTATATACATATATATATATATATATATATACTGTACTATTATTCTTATATACTGTCTAGCAATAACATTACCATCATATCATCAGTACTATTACCATCATATTGCCACTGCACTACTTGTCTGCCTATTCATCTTGTGTTTCTGTTTTTGTTCTTTCTACCTCAATGTTTTGTTTTGTTCTATTGTATTGTGTTTTGTTGTGTTCTGATACACGAGCTGCTATGACGACTTCATTTCCCTCCAGGGATGAATAAAGTAATCTATCTATCTATCTATATTCCATGCTGGGAATTATTGTTATATCCAGTTGACCAATCAGATTGAAACATACCAGGTGTCTCAGGATAAAAAAAATCAAATTTTATTAAGATAATACAATCTTAACAATAATTATTCATCTTAATTGATTAAACTTTAATTTGTCAACAGCCACCCATTTACATTAGAATCATATAAAAACAAATACAGTGCGAGGATCTGTCGTCTTTGAGCTCGACAGCTGTCAACGTGTCACGATAAGACTGGCCTGCAGGAAGAACTCTCTGTGTTCCACGTGTTGTTTATGTCACAGGTGCTTGTTTTTGTGTTATTGTTGAATGAGTTGAAATCAACCATCGACTCCCTCGATTGTTTGAGTCATCGATGTGGTGTCTGTTGTTCTAGATTCAAGGTTAGTTACTCCGTTTCCTGAGCTTTCAACCACGTCAGTATAAACAGGTTGGTGTTATAAATAATAGTATATAGGAATAGTAATGTGTGGTTTTTTTTCTATCTGTCTCCAGATGTTGGTTCTCAGCATCGGTTAGTTGGTCCAGATGTCAGAGGACCAGCGGCACCAGCGGGCCGAAGCCTCCCGGCGGGGGGAGGTCGGTCTGGAGGCGGGGGAGGGTGACACAGAGCCCAGCATGTTGCAGCAGAGACTGAAAAACAACATCTCGTAAGTCAGCTCTCAGTGACTGTAAATAAAGATGGACGACCTGTCTCGGCTTTCTCCTACCGTTCAGATGTGAAGGGTTAGGAGGGGGCAAGGTTTATGAACCAGCAGCCAGGGGGCGATCCAGGTGATTTGGCTTCACTTTGGGAGCCATTATGTCATCCATCTTTATTCAATAATTCAAATACAAAACTTTAAATCAGCTCCTCAATCACAACCTTTAATCTGCTGGAGTGTGTTTGTGATAAGAAAAGATAATTAGACACCAGTAAAGTAATAATAAGTAAACATACAATCCTTATTAAATGTAAGGAGATATTTAAACTATGAATGGAATAGAAATAATATTCACAGCATATACAAATTATATACAATGAAACAGATTGCACACAGAATTTGATATCAGTTTGTGTGTGTGAGATCAGTGTGTGTGATCAGAATCAGAATACCTTTATTGTCCCACAAATGGGGAAATTACTTTGTCACAGCAGCAACAGGACAGTTGTGTTTTTTAAAAAACAATAACAATAGTGGAAAATAAACAAGATAATTTCAAGGTTAGAAAATAGAATAGAAAGAATATACTGCTATATACATATGAACATATTCAGTGTGCAATGAATTTACAAAAAGACAGTGTGGTAGTGTATTAGCTGGTGATAATGAATAATAAATATTGATATTTGGATATGGATATTTATAAAAACTGTATGCAGATGTATGCTACTGGGAGCAGTGATTGAAAAGCCTGACAGCAGCAGGGAGGAAGGACCTTCGATACCTCTCCTTCACACACTTGTGGTGTATCACTGCTGCTGAAGGAGCTGCCCAGTGCTGTGAGAGTGACCTGTAGGGGGTGGGACTCCTGCACCAGCAGCGATGACAGCTTGTGTGTGTGTGTGTGTGTG